AGATATTACATCGGAAATTGCTTGTTGGTTTTCGTCTTCTGATATGACTATATCTTATGCATCCAATGCATGCTTTAAATTTGCTGTCATTTCTTCCTTAACTTTTATGTCACACAGGTGATGATATGGATATTGAGAGACTTACACACGACAGAGCAACTACTTCAAGTTCAAACTCGGGGGATGAATATTCTACCACCACGGTATTATTAGATGATTCTTTGAATCCATTTGTATCATCATAACTACTTGCTCAGTTACAAGAAGGTAGTTTTGGTGCTTTGACACAGGAGGAATCAGGATCGCCCAGAGAAGAGAGCATTCAAATTGATTCTGGCTTTCCGGAATCTATGATGAAATCTTCCAAGCCTTTGAAGAGGAACAGATGGAAACATGATGAGATAAAGAAATTGATAAAATTGCGTGGGGAACTCCACAGCAGGTTCCAAGTTGTTCGAGGACGAATGGCACTATGGGAAGAGATATCTTCAAATTTACTATCTACTGGAGTCAATCGAAGTCCTGCGCAGTGTAAATCTCTCTGGGCTTCTCTAGTTCAAAAGTATGAGGTGAGTATTTCTTTTTTGTTTCCTCCTTGAGCGCGTGTACATTTACTTGGTAGTGTTGGTTAGCATGCTCAAACTTTATTGGGAGAAACAATATATCACAATAAAACCATAAAACCATGCATTTTAAATGACTATCCTTTTCAGAACAATTTTTTCCTGAAGGATGTCACATTATTTATTTTTCTGCGGACATAGAAGTGAAAAAAGGGATAGATACCCTTTTGTTATGGTGTGTTGTGACCTCTTAGGACAAAAAGGAGAGAAATTAGATTATCCATTTATTGAATTGTAGAAAATTGGAGACTGCAAAAACAAAATAGACACACATGAAATATTTGTATATTTCCTTTTAGTTGAAGATTCGCCTTTCACCGTGTACCTTGTTGAATGTTTGGAAGTTCTTCCTCAGTCGAGTGATAAGATGCCTACTTTTAACAGCTTTTTGCTATTCTGTAACAGGAAAGCAAGAGTGATAAGAAAAGCCAGGAAAAATGGCCTTACTTTGAGGAGATGAATGAGATCTTGTCTGATTTGGAGGCGACGGCCCAGAAATGATTGCATATGTATGATTGAGGCTAATGTTTGTGGAGGTAATTCTTCATTGGTGGGATGTGAAATTGTGGACAGTTAGATTTATCCAAAAAGACCGATGCACCCTTAAAAATGCAGACTCAAGACTTCATCATTTGTACTGGCACCTATTGATAAGCTGTTGCGCAAGCTCTCCACATGAAGCCAGAGGCGGAGGAGGGATTGACTTATTAGGTGTCCTTTTAAGCTGGTGAAAGGCTGGTAAATTTTGCAATATTTGTAGTGATTTTAGGGGTTAGAAGTGTTGAGAAAGCACTTACCTAAGTTTCAATTTTTTTAAAAAGGAGGATAGACAAAAATCTTACGTAATATTTTTCGTGTGGATAAGTTGGAAGTGGCTCAAAAATTGTCGAGATTTTGATGATAAAGAGTTAGCATACGTTTGATTCGGGGTACTTGTCGGCTACTAGGCACTATTGATCACGTATTGCATGTTGTACTATACCATTGAAAGCCTTGAAGATGAGATGCAGAATCTGCTTTATCAAGGAGAGAAGGCGATAATTTATAGAAAGATTCTTCCAAATTAATTAATTCTTAATACAGTAACATATTATCGTACCTAAGGTTTAATTGCATCAGACAGTTCGAGTTTTTCTAAGTTGTTTTGGGCGAAATCATAGCTCTATCAATCATAATTCATATGTCATAAATTACGCAAATTATTGTAGTGTCTCTTTGTGTAATAAGAAACTTTTTATAATTAAAATTTTATTAATTATTCAAGGAAAAATTTCATATAACAACAACTGGGCTCCCTACATTTCAATTTTATAGCCTATATTTCGGGAACTTTACACCGTATATCCCCTCTAAAGAACTCTTGACACTGTATACTTTAGTTATAAAATTACATGTAGTACACATTAGTTAATTACTCCACATATTCAATTAGTTAAAGGACAATAACTACCTGACAAATTTGTCGCCTAAATTAAAGGAAATTATATATACGAAGCAAATCCAAAGTCTTACATCCATTTTAAACTTGGACATAAAATTAAAGAATAAAAAATATTAATCCATTAAATTAAACAATTTTTTATTTTATTATGGGAACCTTTGTCCTTATTTTCTTGTATACAATAAAAAATTATATGGTAAACTAGTCATTGTATACTATTAAAGCATGTTAATATTGCAAGTAAAACAATATATACACAATAAATAAAAATAAAAGTATGTTTAATTTGAATACTGTATTTCAAATTAGAATACTGCGCTATATTTAGTTTGAATACTGTATTCCAGATTAGAATATTGTGGTATATTTTGTTTGAATATTGTATTCCAAATTAGAATATTGTGATATGTTTGATTTTGAATATTATATTCTTTATTAGAATATTATGGTATGATGTTTTGAATACTATGTTCTTCATTAATCTGTTGTAATTTGTTATGTTTAATTTGGTTTGGATAATATATCCCACATTAAATATTGTGGTATGTTTGGTTTGAATATTGTATTCTAAAAATTATATGTTTAGTTTAAATATTGTATTCCAAATTAGAATATTATGGCATGTTTGATTTGAATATTGCATTTTTCATTAGAATATTGTGGTGCATATATTAGTTTGAATACTAGTATGTTCTAATATTTCTTTTAGTTTAGATACTGTATCCCAAATTAAAATATTTTTACGTTATTTTAACTTTTCTTTTGATTACATAGATAGAAGAGAAAAACAAAAAAGATGAAACACTTCATCGACAAATAAATGGTAACGAGGTATTGTCTTGTACATAACAAATGCTCCATTTTCATATTCTTCTGCCACCATGTCATAGAAAAGAATAGAGAGGGTTGTTTATTTAGAGCAAGAGAAATTATTAAATTTTTTTGGTGAAAATGTATAATCCTAATTTCGTGGGATGATGGAGTGTTTTAAGGAATTTATTAAGTTGGAGTGAAAGATAATCTAGTCCCTTAAAATGTGGGATATGTTTAATGGCATATAATGATATTAAAGATTTAAGAAGTAATAAATTTTATAAAGTAGGTATAGGATGTAAAATAAATATTTTAAAAGTATATGGAGTTAACTGGTGTATTTAATAGGTAGACCGCGTAGATTATCCTCTTTCGATTAACAATCAACCAGGCCAAAAATAATAGGCTAAAATTCAACATCCAACTCCAATAGGTTCTCGAAATTACTATTTAATTTTTAAAAAAGATTGTTCAAACTTTTAAGTTAATTTTCGAATCAGTAACTGTGATTCAAATATTAGTTCAACAAACCAAATCCATTTGGGTGGTGAAAATTAAATTTTTAACAAGCTTAAATATGTGGGTTTAAATTCCGTATTCGATTTTGTGAGAAATTTAGAGTGAGTGTTATTTAGACTTGTTAGAAATAGTATATGGAGGTTGTATATAAAATTTGAAGTTATTTAATGGAGATTTGGACTGGTTTGAACAAGAATTGCAATTAAAAGTTGTGGAAGAAGTTCGTGTACAGACGCTTCTTTAAAGGCATACATTCGTCTTCTTCCTTGCTTTTTTTTTATATGAAATTTAACTCAAATCTTGCTCAAATCTATTCCATCAAACTTTAATTTTGAACTCCTTTTGATATTTTCAATCAATTGGAACAACACTCAATCCAAACAACTAACAAACTAAAAAAAAATAATAATCATATTTTCAAAAGCAAAGCTTTGAATGGCTTTCAATGGTGGACTTCTACTCTTCAATTTCTTACATTGCAACCAAATGACACTGGGGGAGAAGCAGAAAATACACGGCCCCTTGAAGCATAGAAGATGTGAGAAGAAGAGAGAGTGAAAACAATGGTTGTAAGAACACAGATTTAACTCCATAACTTTTAAAAGCAATGGTTGTAAGAACACAAGTTTTGAATTTGCTAGTGCTTTCAAAATATGTACGATATGGACTAGGTCGGGTAAAACTTAAAAACATGAGCTATTTTTTGTTATAGTGTGAAGTCACGTATATTTTCTTGTAATTCTTTCATTATTCAATGGTAGGCGTATATCTTGGTTTTATTATCGCCTAGTTAATATTGAGTGAATTATATCATGTTAGGAACTAGAAGATAAAGTGTTTATTGTCCAGATGTCCACACCGAGGCAACGTGAAGTTTGTGATATTAGTTTGAACTCCTTACAAGGGAAACTTTACCATGTGCATACGTTAAAAAGAAAAACAAGTACATGTAAATAGAATATATATTTAAGCGTTTGTGGAGCTAGAAATTTATACAAGAAAATTTTAAAAAAATATTGAAGCGTCACAACTAGAATTTTAAATTGTAATCTATAACGACTTTTAACTACCTTTACAACTATACTAGAATCTTTTTTATGCTGGTGAAAGCGATTTAATTCATCCCCATTGCCTCCCTTTAGCTCCACCCCTATATTTAAGAGTCTAGTTATTTGAATTATTGATATAATTTAACTGATTATAGCAGATTATTACTTTATTTTTTGGGTAAATCTTAAACTATTTGAGATTTTGCGCTCTACCTTAATTATGTTAAAAGATAAAAGAGCAAAGATTATTTTAGTCCTCTGCCGAAATGATTTATACCAGGTAGCTGCAAAACTGTATAAATTTGTATATATATATATATATATATATAAGATAAAAAAATAATGCTTGATAATAAATATAACTAGACAGAGAGAATAAAGAAAGAAAGAAATAATAAAAGTTTAATTTAGTTTAAGATATACGCTATGATGTTATAAGAGTAAATAATGTAAAATTGTAAATTATCTCCTATGATAATTTACAATTTAAATAGAAGAAGATGATTAGAAGGGAAATGTTACAAAATTTATTAAATCAGGATTAGAGCAAATTTTATTTACCGCCCCAAGAAACACACTATTGGGGGGGAAAAACGAATTTCCTGCCCTTTGAAGAGAGTCTCCTTTTATTTCTAACTTCAAAATAATTTCGCAGTGTAATTTGGCAGCGGCAGCAATGGAGGATTGCTCATCATCCCTTCCTCCGAACAAAGCAACAACTTCTGGTGCCGCAAAATACCTAGCCGACCTCCCTTCTCGCGGCCTCTTTTCCTCCACCACTACTGTCGTCTCTTCTACTCCGGTAACATTTTTCCCCCTTCCAAAACCCTAATTTTTTTACCCTCGCCCGATTCCCTTTTCTTTACTGATGCTTTATATGTGTAATTAATACTGGTTAAAGATGATGTTTCACTGTACAGTTTAATTGAGTTGATATAACTGTTCCTTTTTTTTTATGTTTTGAGTAGATTTAACTGTTAAATAATTATCCCAAACTTATTCTCTTTATTCTTTGGTGGGATAGATTCTGGAGCAGAAATTTAAAAAAAAATCTGGAGAAGAAATTAGGTCTTATGTCGGATGTAAAGTTCAGGGAGATACTAACACAAGTACACACAGTAGTATGTTTTAATAAAACTTTATTTAGTATAGAAATTTTTTTCTAGCCCTGCCTTTTGGTGGCGATACTATTAAATCCCAGCCCAGATAGCTAAGGTTTTACATCCAAAAAGAATGGCTATCAGGGCGATGCCGAAAACTGCGTGAATCTGTGTAGGATCACAAAAGTTTTTCGAAAGATAAATAAATAGGTGGCACCTCGTATCTGAGATCAACTGCCACCTTGCACCTTTTAGAGTAACAGTCAACGTTGTCTTTCCTTATTATGATTTTCTTCTCTGTAAGATTATATTTTCTATATGGACTTAGCCTCTTTACGTGTTTACTATCATCTTATCTGCCCACCAGCGTAAGCTGTAAAAGAATTTGGTTTTCAAGGTGAATTGATTATATTGGAAAATGTTTAGTAATGTTTCTTTCATTTTCTTTTGATCTTCACTTATTTTGAAACTTTTTGCAGGGTGGAATGCGGGTATATGTCTGTGATCATGAAACATCGCCTCCAGGTCTGTTTCTGTATATTTATGCCTTTTAAATTGCTTAAGGAGCTGCAATTCTATATAAACGAATTAGCTGAGCAATCTCTTTTTATGGTGAAAATTGATTTAGCCTCTACTCCTGTTGTTTTGTCCTTTGAATGGATTTACCTGCATATGGTTATTTTATTGCTTAGTGTTTGGCTTCTTGGACTTTGCATATGCACTTTTGTTATGTCATTGTAAAGCACTGATATCCTCTCATTGTGTCTCGTCTAGTACATGGTTGGTATATCTTAGAGATATCTCGCTATCTGAGTCTTGATGATTCAAGCAATTTGAATGTCTTTCTCTTTTTTTTCTCCTTTTAAGATTATAAATTCCCATTTCAAAAAGATTATAAATTTTATGCTTTCCTCATTTTACCATTTTCTTCAAGGCTAGATTGCTGCCTTCATCAATCTGGATTGAATTATGTTTCACAAAATGTTGTATATGCAGAGGAGCAGCTTATTAAGACAAACCAGCAAAACATATTGATTAGGTCTCTCATGCTTAAGAAGCAGAGGGGTGATTATAGTTCAAAAGATGGCAAGGGGATTTCCTCAAATGACAATGGTAGAAAAAGGTAATTGTCCATGTTTGTTCAGTATTATTGCTATCCTATACCAGCTAGTGTACCTCTGTACAGTTAATTTATTGGTGTTGTATCTACTGCCACCACCTAATTTTCAGGACTGCTGAAAAAGCATTGGATAGTAGGGCATCAAGCAAGAAGGCTACTACCAGTAACCAAGTTGCCTCTTGCCAAGGTGAGCCCATTATTAATCAATTGTAGGTGGTACAATAAAAAATATTGTTAAACGAAGTGGTCTTTCATCAAAAATATACTTGAATTCTTGTGGTTCATAATTCTATTGCTAAATTGAAAAAGAATAAAGCAGGTGGGTATCCCTTAGCTCTCTATTACGTCATCTATTTAAATTGTCAAATTTGACTCCTAAATTATTACTGAAAACTTTCATTGATTGTTTGAGTATCAGCGTAATACTTTTGGGTCCACAAAATGAGAACGTTAGTATTATATGCAAACATACCCTTCCATTTTATGAGACCATTTGATTGGGCACAAAGGAATTTAAGATGTTACTTGCACCCAACGATGTGGCGTAGTCGTCAATGAAGTGAGTTAAGAACTATGAGGTCTCAGGTACAAAGAGGAGGTATAAACTCTAGGCGATTTCTTTCCATTCGTTCAAGCCTTGGTGGACAGGGTTACCCGGTGCTTATGCTGGTGGGAGGTAGCAGGCACCCGGTGGAATTTGTCGAGGTGTGCACAAGCTGGCCCGGACACCACGGTTATAAAAAAAAGTTACTTGATTATTATACATTAGTAGGAGCAGTAGAAGGATATATTACATATATATTGAAAATTTATCTTGGTTGGAGAACATCACATTTAAATTTAAATTCTAAAAGTTCATAGGAACTATAATGACTTTATTAGCAGAAATTTGGAATATTTTAGGACATCCTAAAATGGAATCTCATATAGATTGCGATGGAAGCCGTAGTATCTAAATAATTAATGAGTTAATTGTAGTGTATTCATTTTAACAGCCTCCATTGACCTTAAAGGTCAATCTTGATATTTTTAGGCAAGGTAATGAATTAAATTTTAACCTAAAATATTAATTGCAGAACACAAAGAGAGAATTCTAGGCTTGTAATGGAAGAAAAAAGAGGGGCAGGAGGGAGCTACTATATTTTACAAAGTTAAATGCAGAACACAAAAGGAGAAGGTTACACTTGCAATGAAAGAGAAAATGGGCTGGGGGCTAGTGTAGTTTTAAGAACTGTGAGGTCCTCTTGAATTATGATAAATAGAGAGGTGATTTGACTTAACTATACGTTGATGGCATAATGAGATGAAGTGTATTTATCATCCATAAAGAAACTAATAATCATGTCAGTATTAGGTCTGCTTATGAGATCTTGCCAGAGGACTGCTTATGAGATCATAACATTTACTACTCATTCTTTTTCGGATGAAAAGGTAAAGATCGTACACCAAACATATACTACCAATAATAGGTCGCGTGAACTACTGTCAAGCATCAAGTACGTATTTATATCTAATTAGACTAGATGGTGAATACAGGCTGCTTCCAGAAAATGTGTCTTCGGGACATTGAGTGACATGGAAAAAAGGTGATTAACATGTCTTAGCTCTAATGATTAACATGCCTTAGCTCTAACTTCTGTAAATGTCCCTTCCGGGACATTGAGTGCCATATTCCCAAACCTCTGGGAACGTGGAAACCACTTTGATTTCCCTTATATAAAATGAGGTCTATTGATTTGACTCCAAAGGTCCAAGAAATAGTATGTTCTCACATCATGTTTCTTCAGGTCAGATGTACACGGGTAGAACTTCATTGTTAAATTTCCTACTCTGTCTTTGTGCAAATCTACTTGTTTGAAGTCTTTGTTGAAGCTACTTACTTTTGCAGAATAAATTCATGGGCATTATCATCTATAATTAGTGATGTATTAAACTGTCTTAACTCCTGCAGAAACTTCAAAAACTCGTACACCTGACATACAAAATATGACTGTTGAGAGACTACGGATTCTGTTAAAGGAGAAAGGTCTTTCACTGAGAGGAAGGAAGGCAAGTATTTGCATATCCTTTAATCTTAGATAGGTTTTGATATGTTCTACTTTTTCTCCTTAAAGAACCTGTTGGTAAATCTATTCACTATACACTTTTTAAGTAGTACTTGTATGATGTGTTTTTCCCAACTTGTTTGGGATTGAGGCGTCGTTGTTGTTGTACTTGACTACTTGTATGATGTGTGTTGTTGAATATTTGGCCTATTCTGTAGCATGAAATGTCATTCTCTTTCAATAAGCTCTCACTATGCAATTATGTCGGCAGGATGAACTAATTGCACGGTTAAAGGACACATGAATAAGCATATTCCAAGAGTTTGAGGCAGCTAATTCCAAATTCCATTTTGTACACCATGCAGCTGTGTGAAGTAGGCCCTCGTGTATGTATTATTTGTGTACTTTACAACTAATTAAGAGTCAACTTTTGGCCTTACAACTCTTTGTGTGCATTCGTGCGTTTCTGTGTTCTTGTTGTATGCCATAGCATGTTGTTAAGTTGTGAGGGTGCACTAGATGTATGCGTTAATAGCTACATCATATATCTGATCTGTGAAAAAGTGCATGTCAACGACTTCCAAAATTTTCTACTCTTTGCAAATTCGGTATGAAACTGCTCTTTCAGAATCTACACTCGTTAATGTATGAATCTACTCTCAGCATCCACTAATAATTTTTGAATCTCTCATTCTACCTCTTCGTTATCTTCAGCTGCTGGTGATATTTCTGTTGTATTCAACTGAGTTTTTTTGCTCTGCTACTTATGAAATCTTTTTTTTGGTGATGCATTTAAATCCGTATGGCTCAAGCATGAACTGTACCTGAAATAATGAATTACCTCTTTGATGAGTTCGTCAAATAATAATGAATTACTCCATTGTCCTTTATAGAACTAAAAATCTGAAATAATTTTCCAAACTATGTTTGTATCTTCAAGAAGAAACACATAAGGTGGAAGGGGTATTTAATTAGGTCCGCTTCTAGTGGTCTTCTCTAAAAATCAGTAGTCCAGGTGAGCTAACTTGATACATGGGCTAGTGAGTACCAAGCAATGTTTTAAAAGGTGGGGGCGTGAGGCGATGCGTTTTATCTCTGACGAGGCGATGCGTAAGCTCTGAGACATGGGGCGTTAGTCCAACGGATCTTTAAATTTTACCGATTTCAAGAATTTTAAGATAGTATAAAATAAAAAAAATAATTATAAAAATTACACTAAAATCACAAAATTATAACATAAATTATTTAAAATATTTATAAACTATAATTCAACTATGAATAATATGAAAAGTATGACATATCATAATATGCAAATTAGCTGCAACGTCGTTACAAACATCAAAAGTAATATATTCGATACGAAATTTTATATGTATCTCTTAAGGAGTAATGAATCTTGAAAGAATTTTGATATTATAACTTGATATTTTTCTTAAAATACTCCTTTTATTTAATATGCTTTCTATTTGAAAGAGAATTTATACAAAAACATAATTCATAATTTAAATATGATCATTTATTTTTAAGTTTCGATAGTTAATAAAGTGACACATAATTTACCATACAATACCATGATAACTAATTATTTGTAAGTAGTTACTAGCTAATACTGAGCTGTTAAATTAATAAGTATTGTATCTCGTAAACGTGAAAAAACAATATTTAGAAAAATAATTATAAAAAATTATGGACTATTATATAGTAAAGACATAACAAAATTTAATAAATAAATACCTTTTAAATGAAAGATTTATTTAAAATTAACTATCATAGCAGTCTTAGTGGATAACGTGCAATAATTTTTATTTTAATTATGACATAAAATATTCTCAACTTAATAATTTATGATTAAGAAAAAAGTAATTTGAATAATCAATGATTTATTAAGCAAATATGAGAATTTACAAGGTTAGTTACATAGAATTGCATAAAGTTCTATTAGGCGAGCCCAGTACACTAGGCGTTGGGCGTGTCCGGGGCGTAAGCCCCAATGGCCGAGGCGTTAGTCTCACAGAACTAAGCCCCACACATAAGCCCAGGGGCGTTTTACGAGTGCTCCGCCCCGGGCGAGTCCCAATTCTGCCTTTTAAAACTGAGGTATCAAGTACTCGTCGGAAGTAGTCGAGATGTATGTACACTGACTCAGACATCACCATTATCTAAAAAACAAACTAAATATTGGATATAATTATATGTCATATTGTTGAATCCAGATATGCACAAACTGCTCGAGGAGAGCGTCACTTTGTTCGCGTATTTCACGTCGGCAATTGTCTGGGTGTTATAAACCTCCGTTACAATGGAAAGTTGTCCCCCTTCAACTCATTCTTACCACGAAGATGCAAATTTTTTTGGCTCTTATACTACCTGTATTCTACTAAAAATCAATCTCTACCCACAGTATTTCCCATAATTGCTGACTCCATGTTGGTGTGAATGAAGTCGCTGTTTTGACTTTCACAAGTCAAATTTGCTCCCAAAGCTGATTTTAAGATCAAAACTCGTGAATTTTTATGCAAATAGGCAAGAATGATAAATTACACGATGAGTTCTCTTACCAGAATATTTGGCATTTAAAACTACTGAAATCCATCTAGCGATTACGAAGATCCAATTGTTGAATACGGACACGATAAGTATTTAAGTATAGTGTTAAGTACAAGTTGCGGGTTCATCACTTCAGCTCTTGCTACGAAATATGGTTAGAAACTTACAATATTGAAAAACTATGATTTGAATTTTATGCAGCTACTGCCTAAATTGATCTACACATAGACTTGATTTTAAGTGGTGAAAATTTGTGGATTACGGTGATGTTAGGTCTAAGGTATGTATGGTTGTCGACACAACTTGAAATGATATATAAAACATGCTGTTCAACCAAATATCCAACTAGAAATTCCAAAACACGGTACCAACACTAACGGCAATTACCGTCTACCTGCTGCTATTTTAGCACCTTTCCTTCGTAATTAATTGATAGTAATTACTATTAAGAATCTAACCAAATGCTACAAGTCCTACGATAGACAAAAAAAAAAAAAATCAGAAATATTCATGTTTACAATTGATAATTGAAAAATAGCCACAACTTCGAAAGTAATTAAAATTTAGCCACTTTTCATGTAAAGATAAAATATGAAGAAAAACGCTCTTACAAATTCGGGAATATTCCAGCATAATATGCTGGAGTTCGACTTTTTTACATACGAGCTTCCAACATAATATGCTGGAATTTTATAATGCGCTTGAGTTCCATCATAATATGCTGGAAGTTTGGGAAACTTACACAAATGTCCCAAATAAATCTCAACTTACCAACCTCTAGCCATTAGTCATAGACTTACCAAAACTAGCCAACAAAAATTGAAAAACCAAATAATAGGGTTCTTTCTCTCAAAGAATCACATGCAAAAATCACCTTCCATATGTTTAAGTGTGATTAGCAACATTAGATACAAGACGGAAAAGAAATTTCATGGACGAGGTAGCAAATAAGGTGATGAAATACAAAAATCTATACAAATATTCCAAAAATCTAAACAAAAAAGGAACTTTTTCAATGGGTATAGTTGAAATTCATTGAAAATATATAGATAAGTCAATATACAAAATTTGAGGAAGATTGGAGGTGATTTGGAGTGGTCTTGTATCAAAATTCATAATTAAATCGAGTTAAAAAAAGTCTTCTGCGACACATGTATCAAACATGTATCACGCATGTATCTCACACACAGGTATACATGGATATACATGTGATACATAATTGATACAAATATGATACATATGTGATACACAAATGATACACAGTGTGATACGCATATCATTTTTTTTTTCATGTTCAGCTTTTATTTCGAATTTTCAATTCAAACCACCTCAAATCTTCACCAAATCATCCCAAAACTGAGATTCAAGCTCCTTAAGTTGTGCCCAATTTATTCTAATAACACCTACTCAAAACAAAGCAAATTGATATTTTTTTGCTACAAATAGCTAATTGGCTAATTTGGCTAATATTAGTAATATTTTATCAATTGGCCAATTTTTGTAATGAGCTACCTATAAATTGTCATAGATGGTAATTTCCCAAGTTTATATGCAGGAGCTCCATAATCCCACATATTATGTTGGAACTTTTCGTATGCTGGAGTTCCAACATAATATGCTGGAAGTTTGTACGCAGGAGCTCCATAAGCCCGTATATTATGTTGGAACTTTTCGTGTTTCAGCAAATTAATAACTATTTTTTCAATAACTTCACAAATGCTGATTATTTTTCAATTATCAAATTGGTTTAGCCCGTCCTATTTAATGTTTGAAGTCGACTAGCAGTCGCTTTTCCTGAAAAAGGAAAGAACGTGTTCAAAAGCTACTTCCATTCCGTTCTCCACCGCGCGCTTGCTTCCATTTTACAGTACCATTATTTTCTCTTTTTTGTCTGTTTGTTTTTGTTGACAAAGTCACATAGAATTTTTTCTCTTTTTGTTTTTTGTTGACAAAGTACCAAACTGAGAAATGCATTATTGTGGCGAATATACTAGGACTCACTACAATATAATAAGATGTTGACTTGGTTAATAGTCAAGCTTGTACTCCTTGCTTATCAAATTATATCATTAAGAATTTTAACTGAATTATTTTATTAAAACCTTTTAATCCATTCTGGATGCTCGCAGTTTAATAAGACTTTAAATTATTAGTCCGTCGATATCAATGAAATCCTCTATCATATCGATTTGTTTTTTGACTTTCAAATAATAAACCCCGGGTGTGTTTGGTATGTGTTTGACTCAAAAGTTATTGAGTACTTTTCGAGCAAATCAATCAATAAAGATGAAGGGGTAAATCCTAGTTAAAGATAATTAACTCTAGATTCGAGATGAGTAGGAGAAACAGAAAAACATAGTCAAATATAAATGTTAACAGCGATTATGATCAGATTTAATGGCATGAGTAAAGATGCGTTTAAGTAATAAAGGAAAAGATTCACCCGATCTTCAGTGAGACAGATCTTCTTTCATTTAATAAAGATCAATGGTAGACAAATACAAGAACCTTATGGCCCTTTTTTGGATCCGATGAAGGTATGGGATCACTGATTCTCTCAATTCTTTGGAGAGGTGTGTTTACATATTTTCTAGAAAGAGGGAGAGGGAGACAGAGAGAGAGACCCCCCCTTTTTTGGGAAGTCCTCCCCTCCTATTTATAAGGGGGGTATCCATAGAAAATCCTAAAAAAGGGTACAATTTAGAGGGAATATTCGGTAGAATATTCCTTTTGAGTATTCCAAAGCAAACTGGCTGTTTGATGACGGTCCGACCTTGGCCTGTCCGACCTCGGCTATTGATGACGGTCCGACTTTGGCTATTGATGACGGTCCAACCTTGGCCATTGATGACGGTCCGACCTTGGTTGTTGATGACGGTCCGACCTTGGCTATTGATGACGGTCCGACCTTGGTTATTGATGACGGTCCGACCTTGGCCTGTCTGACCACGACCTTATGTCTCCCCGTGCCGAATTTCTCTGATCTAATTTTGACCCATACAGTTAGTCCCTTCGCTTATCAAGGTCGTCTCTTGGTCGAGCTCGGTGAGCGGATTTCATTAATCGTAATTTGAGAAATTCGGATGGGGAGGTCGATTAGTGTGGATCGCAGCTGAGGGTGCCGATCTTTAGGTCAGTGGTATC